ACATATCTTCAGAAAGATTGGCTTGAACGATGAACCACATCGTACTCTGAGCTTCTTCGCTCCTACGAAGTTTCGAGATTACTGGGAACCAGAGTCAGAAGTTGCAATTTCTCCTTTCCCTGAGCCCGAGGATGCGATCAAGGCAACCGCATGGTCTGATGATGACGGTGAAGAGATTGAAGAGAAGGAGCAGCAGGTGGAACACCACGATATCGAGAAGAGGGTGATTGCTCAAAACCCACATGAAGTTGAGCTGGATCAGACACTCTTCTCGGAAAAGACTTCAGTGAAAGACCGGCAGATCGCGTGCAAAGAGCGGAACTTGGCACATACTGGAAGCAAGAAGCGGCTCCTGGAACGGCTGACCAGCTTCAAGATCAATTTGGAGACCCAGATGCAGCTGTCAATTGCAAACCGAATCTACAAGGAGCAGGAGAGACTTCCGGTGACCATTGGACAACCAAAGCTGCCGAGTCTAGCCGATCAGGAACGGCGCTTCATCGCCCACATGCCCTATGCTGGACGGTGCCAGCTTGTGTGGCAAGCCGTGCGAAGGAAGACAAGCGCCCACCTCAAAAGGAACAGGAGGACCAGGGCAAGAACGTCATCCAGATGGATTTCTGCTACACGTATACGGGTGAAGACCAACGAGGTGATGAACCATCTTTGGGGAAGGTCCAAGAGCGACAAGACCAATATGGGACAGTCTTGATTCTGACGAGCTCGGAGACGAAGGCGGTACACGCAGTGCCAGTGCCTTCCAAGGGCACTGCGAGTCTCAAAACGGTCACGGAGGAGGTCACTCGCTTTGCGCTAGAGAATTCCGCCTACGACCAGTGCGTCTTCCAGGCTGACCCCGAGAGGGCGACTCGTCAAACTTTGAGGTCTGCGCAACAGGTCCGCAGCATAATGGGACTCAAAACAGAGATCCGCATGATTGGCGCTGGACAACATCAGTCCAATGGGCAAGTCGAGAGAGCAGTCCAAACGGTGAGGCGGCTAGCAAATTGTCTCAGAACATTCGCTGAAGATCGTGCAAGGCTGAGGATTCTTGGATCATTTCATCTGTATGCTGCTTTCGCGATCAATCGCTTTCGTGTCTTGGAGAAATGCGACAAGACGAGCTTTGAATTGGCAACGGGTCATGGATATCATGGGAAGCTAGCACTGTTCGGAGAGAGCGTCCTGTTCAAGAAGATTGTCAAGTTCAAGGGAAACAACATCTTCGAACGTGGAGTCTGGGCAGGAAAACATCCATGGCATGATACACATGTGATCTTGACTCCAGAAGGTGCATTTGAAGCCAGAACAATCAGGCGACTGGCAGTTGGGGAGAACTTCATTGCAACGGACATTGTGATCTCCAAGGGACTTCCATGGAGCTATTCTCCTCAAGGCATTCTGATGTGACATGCTGGACAGACTCAACGCACACGCCAGCCTACACTTGAGGCAGAGGAAGAGAGTGAGATGAAGGAGGTTGCAGCAGGAGTGGCTGGACCAACGCCAGGGCTGAAGACACCAGTTCCAAACACGCCTGGCATTGTGGCGCCCAAGACACCTAATGTTGGTTCCATGGCGCCATCAACTCCTGGGCCAACATCACCTTCTGGCGAGATGGCATCTATGGCATTGAAGAGACCTTTGGAAACGGCAGAGGAGAGTGAGCCCAAAAGATTGGATGATACATCATCTCCGCACAAGGCGTGTGAGAAAAGAGAGCCAGAGGTTGATGTGGAGGAGTTAGAGGGTGAGCAAAGAGAGCATGGCACCGATGAGCCGATGAGGGCACTGGAGGCATCACCGCGAGGTTCACCCAGTTCTCGCCTGTATCCTCCGACATATGCTGGCACCAATGCGGTGAACATGGAGATTCATGCAGATGAAGAATTTGATTTGGATCTGATTCCAAACGAAGTGGAGGAGGACTTAATTGCATATGGAGGAGAAGAAGACGAAGGTCCTCCTGAGGTGACTGAGGAGCGTCTGGCCGAATTGGACGCCCAAGCACGAGAGAAGGGGATTCAACGGATGATGGAGATGCCTATGATCGAGAGTGATGAAGATGAGGTGACCAGAAGTGAGGTCTACATCATATCGACCAAAGAGGTGTACACTTGGAAACATCGCCTCGAGATGTGGGGATGGTTTCGTCGTGCGAGATTGGTGGCACGGCAGTTCAGAAACTCCATTGACCTTGAGCAAACGTTCGCTCCCACGTCGATGATGATGGTCCCCAAACTCTTGATTCACTTGATTGCGAACGTCTTTCCTCACTTCAAGGCCATGACTCTGGATATCAAAGACGCATTTTTGATGGCGCCCCAACCGACTGATGAAGTGGCCTTTGTAAGAGTGAATGGCCGCATCTTCCGACTCCTACGATGCCTACCAGGTCAACGCACAGCAGCATCGCAGTGGTTCCAACTGTTTGCCAGGACATGTCTGCAGTTCGGTCTGGTGCAGGACATGATGCAGCCTACGTTGATGATGTTGGCAAAAGAATTGTACGTCACGGTGCATGTGGACGATGTGTTCATGGTTGGCACGGAGGAAAAGTTGCTGCAATTTGTCGCTTACTTGAAGAAGGAGATGGAATGGAATGTGGAAGAAAAGGGGCCATTCCAAGCTGGTGACAAATTTCACTACCTGAAGAGGCAATTTGACTGGTGGAGGAAAAGCTGCACTATTAGGTGTGATCACAAGCAGTATGACAGCTTGGAGAAGGATGTGACCAACCTGCACGCACGCTTCTACAGGAAGACCCCCATGAGCAACGACTTCGGCAAGAAAGATGAGTCTCCGGAGTTGGATGGCAGCGACATCACGAAGTTCAGAAGCATCGTGGGAAAGTTGATGTACATCTCAGGCGAACGACCAGACGCACAACATGCCATCCAGTGTCTCGCCAGACACATGGCAAAACTCAGATGGCCATGAAGAATGCAGTGTGTGTGGTGTTGGAGTGATGATGGACTCAAGAAAGAGAGGTCAGTCAGTGATGGACGTGAGAGAAGGGGAAGAAGCCATTGAACAGCCACAGCATTTGCTTGAAGTGATCACGGACGCCGACTATGCAGGCAACAAGAACGATCGAAAATCGACGAGTTCATTTCAAACCTTCATCGATGGCAACTTGGTTGAACCCAAGGTTCGCGCTCAAAAGTCCATTGCATTGTCTTCTGGCGAATCAGAGTTCGTGGCGATGGTGGCTGGAAGCTCTGAGGGACTACTTGTACGTCGCCTTTGGAACAAGATGACAGGCGTGCAGTGCACGATGGAAGTGCGCTCAGACAGCTCGGCCGCACGGTCAATGGTGCAGAGGCCGCGTCAGACACTTGGACGCATCCATTATGGATCCAGCAGAAGGAGAAGGAGAAGGTGTTGACAGTGGCTCCTATCCCAACAGATTTGAACTGCGCTGACATTGGGACCAAGAACCTGGCGAAGAAAAGGTTGCTGGGATTGCTCTTCATGCTGAAGATGGTGAATGTGGTCAACGACCGTGTGGGTGAAGAAGAGTTTGAAGACCTTGAACGCCACTACCAGGTCAAGAACAGCCAAAGGCAGATTGGGAACAAGAAAGCTCTTCGTGTCTGCTTGCTACTCCTCTTGGCGAACTTGGAGAAGGCCTCAGGAGCGACCATGGAGTCCTACACGGAGGACAGCCATTTTGGCTGGTCATGGACAGTCTTGTGTGTATGCGCGCTCTTTGGGGTCTTGAGCAGTTTTGGTTGGCTTCGGGACTTCATTTTTGTGTTTGTGAAGGGTGGCGTTGCCCACTTGCTGGACTTCAAGAAGGTCACGATCCAGAATGAGGAGAGCGCGGTGCGAGTGGTCCTGGAGAAGAAGGACCAAGAGACTCAGGCAACATGCCATGTGGAGGCTGAGCTGAGAACAGCTTACGACCGTGAGCTGGTGGAGATGCAGGCAGAGCATGTGGAGCAGGACATGTATATAGAAGAACTTGAAGAGAAGATCAGCATGCTCAAAGAGCAAGCTGAAGAACATTTCCAAATGTTTCAACTTGAGACCAGACATGCCCAGAAACTCATGAGGCAGATGGCAAATTTGAAGAAAGCGCCTACAGGCCAGGTGATCCACTTCTCACCTGGATGCCCGCATTATGCGAAGGCAAGCGCAATTGAACTTTGCAAGAAGTGCATGGTTGAAGGGGGCGTGATAGAATATCCAGGGCAGTCAAGCACATGAGCATTCAACCAAGCATTTCTGCAATTGCCGCTATCGGCTGGAGACCCCCTTTTGGAGGAAAAATTAGAGCGACCGCGCCTTTCAATATATGTATGTATATAGTATATTATACACATATGTGTGTGAGGGAGTGAACAATATCAAATAGGATGAGAGAAGAGTCTGAATTGCATTTTGTTTCTTGATGCGATATGAGGATCATGGATCACTGAACAGGTGATTTGTTTTTAAAATGTTTTTCTTGTTTCACCTTGGTTTCACACACAAATGTTGGCAACTTGGCAGGTACTCGATCCTTATTTTTGGTGCACCCGGTGAGGCCTGGTATTTGGTTGAAACCTCCGCAACTCGTGTAGAGGGGCGCATGTCACCATGATTGAAGACGGGAATGCCCACCATTTGTTTCCATTCTTCAGGTTTCCGGGCTTTTCCAATGTTGATTCCTCCAAGATGTACACTGAAGAACCTGGGGTAGTTCTGTCTACAGCTGGTTTGACACCAAAGCTACCATGCGGCCTCGTTGATTTCATTGTCGCCTGTCTTGTGGGCAGATGACAGAAGCTTTGCTGATGCCTCCACCTCATGACCTGAACGTCTCACCCGACTCATGACCTGAAGGTCTCACCTTGCATACAGGCTGAATACCGCATGAATCTCAAGCTGAAGCAGGTGTATATAGATTTCAGATGATTACAGTATGTTGTCATTCACGTCGGCGCTTGAGCTGGTCCTGGGTGCGTTGGCGCCAGGTCCAGTTAGATTGGGCCACGTTGTCGTGCAACACGCCCATGTTCCCTGAGCCAGAAGAGGCCTGGGGATGTCAGCCAGTTGGCCAATTGGCCAAGGTGTTGGATTTTTTGGAGTTTTATTGACAGATTAACATCCTCCTTTGCTGGTTTTTGCCGTCGTTGTGGCAGTAGAGAAGAACTTCCCGCGGCTGAGTCTCCAACCCCATCAGACACCTATCCAATGTATTCTATCCAATGTAGAGAATTCGGTTTGATGAGCAGAGTGACGAAGTTGAGCTATCCGGCATCCGTCCAGGGCCAACTTCAACAATTGGTCTTCGATGATCCCAGCACTGAGCAGACTGACGACTACTGGTTGCATCCATGCGATTGCCTGAACCCGAGCTTTGGCACAGGACCGACCTCCTAACCTCTATAAGCGAGCCCAAAATACTAATTCGTCTATAGACTCACGGGATTGATGAATAGGTCCCCAAAAGAGCATCATGAATAGCTCTGTTGAGGAGCTTTCTATTTCTTCCAACTTCTATTGTTGTAGAATGGGGAAACACTTGTTCTTCCATGGTTTGGCCTCTTTGCCCATCCGTGGCCTCGCAGGATGGCCTGTAGACCCTGCGTCCTTTGAAGAGATCCCTCCACAAGCCAATGGCCCGGGTGCCCAAAGACCGGACACCACAGACGTTGAGTCTAGACGTTGGCCACAGACCCGCGGTTGAGGGGGGATGAGAGGAAGTCTTTGCAGACATTGGACGCTTTGGATAGTCCCTACCCTGTCAGTCTTGGAGTGTTTGGTTTGTCACACATGTGGGGATTTTTATCCAACCTTTGCGGCTTCAAATGACAAACATCATTAACCATCCGTTTGCAAGTTTACAAACTAGTTTGTTTTTCACAGTGATACTGAGCTCTGACTTGCAACAGTGCAAGCTCAATTGTTTTCTCAGCATGACATATCATGACATGCTTCTTTGGTCTTTGCAGACTTGGCAGCTGCAGGTATTTTTGTACCACCACCCTTTCTGCTAGTCTCGGGCCAATTCGTTTGCCCGTCGAGACAGCTTTTGCCTGGTCCTAGCCCTAGACAAACTGTTTGAGCAGTCACTCTGTGCTCTGGGTGGTAGACATGCGATCAGCAAAGCAAACAGCTCGTGTGCCAAAGGTGCTTTGAGCATGTTGTTCACATGTTCACTCCACACTGAAGAACAATGCCCTTCTCCACCCTTCTCAGGCGCGGCTGGGGTCCACTTCAAAACCGAAGCCGAGAGCGGTGAACCCACTGATTGCCAAGAACGATGTCAGGGAGAGGCAAGACATGGTGGCTCTGGGAAGTGCCAAAGATTCCTGAAGAAGTACTGATGACTCTGGAAATCTCAAGGGACTCTGAGTGGAAGATCTCGGCATGTTGAAAATACATTTGCCTCCCAGTTTCAATGAACAAGTGGTGAACCTGACCGGGACCGGCAATTGGCTAGACCGAACAGACCCAACCGTCTTGGTGCTCGATGCAATGTCTTCCCACATCAGATTCTTAGCTACCTTCGAGTGCGGAATTTGCTCAGTTATGATCACGAATGGTCGAAGGCAAAGGTGCCTTCTTGTTCGGACTAGTGACTGGCTATGGATGCAGCTGGAGGTAGCCCCAACACAGAAGTTTGTGACGTTCCGGCAGGATCATTGCCATTTCTTTTGGACAGGCGACTTGCAAGCAAGCTTGATGTGCAAGCGACACGCAGGGAGCACCATTGACAGTCCTTCATTGGCCTCCAACCACTGTCATTCCGCCAGCCTTCTGAGTCTGCGCTTCTCCAAGGTACATCCCACGGAGCGGACACATGCCGCCTCTTCAAAGGATGCGACAGTTTGGTGGGATGCTAAGAGTAGAGTGAAGCCGTCAACTCGCCAACTCTGTTGGAGATGCGCTTCTCAATACTTTACGTACACCCTTGCCTTCCCGCATCTTCCAGCATCATAGAATCATACATCACTGAAACCGCCGTACAAGCAGGGATTTCTATCTTTTTTTTTCCATTGTTTACAGCATGCTTCCACCAAGCGTGCACCAAGCTTTCACCTCCGGCTCAAAGAGCCTTGGTGTTTTTGGCGCGTCGCACGTCGCACGTCACCTCCGCGAGTTCGGCACCAAGGTGCGCGAGTTCGGCATGGAGGGAGATCTCATGGCCTTCCCACGAACACCCAGCTGTGCCGTGGCGAATCCAGCAGTGTGGATCCCCAGTGACCGGGTGGTGGTTTTCCCCAGGCCGGGACGAGGGGTGTGACATTGAGCTGTGGGAACATGTTTCGAGTGAATCTGGTTTGCATCATTTTGCATCGCTGCGTCTCAGCGATCTGCTTTCACTTTGCTTGTTGACCTTCTCAGGGATCTGAGTCACAACTGGGCCTGGCGAGCAGAATAAGATAGAATAAGGATCAGCATGGCAACAAATGCGCTATAAGTTATACATAGTTCTACTGATTGCCCAATTTCTGATCTTTTTTGTGCGCCGAGGCTTGTTGGCACTCGACCATGCGCCGCAACTTCCTGATCCAGACCGTAGGCACCTCTCCATCGGCCTCACACCCTCCAGCAGTGATCAACCAGGGCGGCCACCTGAAGTTCAAAGGCCGCGGTCTGTGGTGTGGAACGTGCGTGCGGTCACGGAAAGGAAGTTTTCACAATCTTTGTTTCTCAATCTGGTTGTTTGATGTTTGGTACTAGATGGAAGTACGGTGAATTTTTACACGCTCGCAAGTGCAACTGTTGTTGATGGTTTCTTTTGTTTTGATGGTTCGTTGCACTATGCAGCTTGTTTGCTTTGCCGTGCAGACACATTATATATATATATATTTGTTTGGACTCAGCACGAGTGCAGAACGAGGTTTGTTGTAGGTTCAACACTGTTGGCCGTGATTTTCAACATTCAGGTCAGTTTTCTAGTTTGCTCTCAGATGTGCTATTCCCAATGTCTGAGATGCTTTGTGTGCTTCCGCTGACACAAAGAACGAAGTATAACGAAGTTCTTCGGGCCATATTTTACTATTTTCACCACTAACAGGCACTTTCTGTCGAAGCAGAGTTTTAGATAATATTCCTGTTTTGCCTGACCAGTACCCTATGCAGCCTATGCAAAGATGTTCGAGCCGACTTTTGTCATGTCCCGGTCTCCGTTGAAACATGCTTTTGTGCCTGGCCTTTCGTGCCAGATCTGTCGGCGAAGTCCTTGACTCCGCAAAACAGCTACGAGGAGAAACTGAATGACCTCTCCAACGTCCGTATGACTGGCTGGAACCGCAGGTGCCTAGGCGAGAATGGTGGAAGAAAAAGACGATACCATGTGAATCTTCAAGATTGGCTTGCCCTTGTTTGGTTCTGGGTCGAACCTGCCTCTTGTGCTCCGTATTGTGGGTCTCAGCAAGCCAGCCCGGACCGGTCAATCGACAAAGCACTTTGGTTTATGTAGAGCATTCTTGCTGGTCGTAGGAAGGTGGAGTTAAGAGAAGCCTCAGATTCCATGCTCGCACCAAGGCTGAGTGGCTATGGTTACTTCAGAGACGTCCCTTGCCCTGCGAGGTAGCACCTGAATCCATTGGAGTCACGCTGTGAGGATTTGCAGATTGAAGTGGCAATCCAATCACTTCACTGAAAAAATCGAAGTCAGAGGAACACACAGAGATACACAGAGTAACAGCAACGGTGTTGGTGGAGGCATAGTTCCGAGGGGCCAGGGGCACCTTCCAAAGGCATAGGAACGGGGCCGATCGTTTGTTTCACTTTCGAAACCTCTTTTGCTTGGATGCTTCGGAACCGGACTTACTTTGTCTTACTTTTCCATTTCTTCCCTGACAAGCCCTGCACTTGAGCCAAAGATTCACTGTGGTGCCCAAAAATGCTCGGACCAGGAAGTGTTTGGAAAGACACATTCTCAGCACAATCAAGGCACTGTTGATACTGATACGGTCTGCAGGGTGCTAGGCCATGCTGGGCATGCTGGGTCACTCAGGCAGCGGGCATTGCGACCGCCACTGTCCAAAACCTCAATGCACACAAAACCTACAAGTACACGCTGTGGATGGAGCTTTGGAACGCGTTCATTCGATATTCTATGTAATGTTCCGCATCGTTTGTGTTGGAAGATTTTGCCGTTTCAATTGCCAACTGTCCCTGTGCGACCAAGACAGCTCTTCACAGCAGCTTCTTTTGCGTGGTTGCGCAAAGTTACACACCAAAACCAAAACACAAACCGAGACAGTTCACTAAACACCCAGGACGGGAATCAAATGGACGTGACGAACAAGTTCTCCGTGAACCACGGCCCTCAGCTCAACGTGGTCCAACGGTCAAGCCGTCGGCGTCGTGCTCTGGCTGCGGACCGCACGGCAGTGGCCACTCCCCGTGGCGATGCTCCGTTGCAAATGGTCCTTTTGCAAACTGGGGCTAAGAGACGTGGGGCTAAGAGAGGTGGACAGAGGTTGAGGAAGTCTGTGTTGCCAAATTTCCATTAAACATCTGCATGACTGCAATGATGCAGTTTTTTAATCTAATTGTTTCGGTGATCTCAGTTGCTCGTTCGCAAGGAGCTGATCTTCGAGTTCGAAGCGACGGACTTTCCCTTGGGCTTTTTCGTGAGCAAGAGCGGTCAGTCCAGTCAATCTTCCCGGGACTGCAGGAGGAGAAGTGTACATGCCCTCTTCCAATATTATATAGGAGCTCCAATATAGATAGAAACGTGATGAAACGTGAATCCCGGCTCTAATTATGTATTGGACACCGCTTTCGATCTTTTGAGAGAATGTGACTTGATCTTTCACAGTGTGATCTATTTTGACAGGAGATATCAAATCACTTCTTGCAACTGCTGGGCAAAAGAAGGCAAGTGCGCTGGAGCCAAAATCGGCACAGATGGAGTGTGCACTGCCTACGGCAATATGGATGTCCAGGATCACAACACATACGTTCCTGGTTTGCATTTTTTCAAGATGTATTGATTGTGGAAAGGAGAGTTGAAGAGGACGTCAAAGCACGAAAGGGCGATGAAACAAGAAGACTCTAGGACCAGTGGATTGCATCCACGTCAGCTGAACAGAGACATTGGATGACATTGGCTTAAACTTACTTTTGTTGCATATGAACCGGACCTGAAGACAGCAGTGTACACAAAACCAACCGATCGAATGCCATCACTGAGTGCCATTTCAAATTCTATCCAGTTCGATAAAACCATGGATAATCGGATAACCCTTGCAGATTCACTTCAGCCCAATAAGGGTAATTTATGCATATTTTTGAAGGCTGTTTCTAGACCGTTCGGCTTTCAATCTAAAAACAGATCAAAAGGCCGGGATTTTCTTCATGGCGCCTTTGGGGACGCCTGTTTCACCTGTTTTCGCCAGTGTGCACCTAAGAAAAACCCGAAAGTGGAAGCCCACGCGAGTTGCATGGCGCTTCCCTTCAAGCAGCTTGAATGAATTCAGGTAAGTTTGCCATAGTTTGTCCCTAGCCCTAGCCTTTGAGCAAATTGCTCTGCTTTAGTTCTTTTTTTTTTTCCTCTCTCTCTCTCTCTCACAATAGACAGCACAACCTGGCAGAGAAACGCTGGAAATATTTGGTTGCTTCGGAGCTTTGTTGTACTCGGGACTTGGATCGCAGGCAGAGTGTCAGCTACCAGACCAGCAGCGGACCGAGTTTCAGTTGGCTTGAAACTGGCGCTGCCGCGAATGCAACCATGGCAGACACAGGCCAGGGCTGCCAATCGATTTGAGTTTGATCGAATTGACATTGGTTTGTACAGCCAAGATCTGCCATTCCAAGACGATGCTGATGCGTAAGTAGGATGCCCACCCACAGAGTGAGGACCCAAAGGCTGACATGTGCCGCCTCTTGGGTCCAGGTGAGGACGATGATGATGAAACTGCAGCTGAGATCATGCCCGGTGGAAGCACCGGTCTACTGGAGGCCTTCTTGGGAGACTAAGCTCCCGACGGAAAAAGTTCAACCTGACGGATTTCTGGCACGAAGCAAGCCGTGCAAGTAAGCAAGCCGCGCAAACACTCGAGCAAGTTTTAAACCAAGGTTAAATACGTACAGTAATGCAAATGAACCACAAGTGGGTTGTTTGGTTGAATGATGTGGTAACTGTTCACAATTCCAAGTTGATGGCTGGGCCGTGACATGGAGCGTTGAGTGTCAACCAATCTTCATGGCACTAGTAGATTGGAGAAGACGGCTGTTCAGTGTTTGGTGTTATTTAATTCTTGTTTTGTAGAGGAGGATGAGATGGAGGACAGTCATGAAGATGAGGATGCTTCTGAACACGAAGATGACGAAGTGAACGTTGATGAAACGCCCGACAGCAAAGATGAAGGTGACGAGGAGCAAGAACTGGTGCCGGGTTCCTTCCTCACTGTCATCATTGTTCGTAGAGGCATGCAAAATGAGGGCCTTGAAGGGTGCCACCATGGTCTATCAGTCAGGGCTGAGTTGGCATTCTGCCACATCTGTCCAGGTGTTTGTAGATGTTTCTAGATGTTTGCAGTGCCCAAATTCATGCAGCGTCTTTGCACCAGTAGTATTGAAACGTATTCAACATAACATAATGATGCAAGATATAACCTGTATGTTCCTTCTCATAAGCGCCGCAGGAGTGGCCAGAATATGCGAGTAGTCTTGCCATGGAGGAAGAGTCGAAGGCCGAGGCTGAGGAAGAATCAGGCAGTTGCAGGGTCAGCTTCTTATGTCAAGCGGCACCGCCCAGTTGGCTTGTGTGTGTATGCGACAAAGGTTTTGCCACAGCGGCATGACAAAGTAACTGGTCATTGATACTTCAAGACTTGATGCGTTGCAGGGGGATGATAGCTTCATAAAGACATCATGCGATGATGTAAATGTACTTAATTTACATTGTTGGTCATCAAGAATCAACCCAAGGAATCAGGTCTAGCAGCTTATGGCATGTTTTGAACCTGGTCTTGCGCATCTTTGCTCCGCAGAAGTCTTCTCCCGTCGCCGCCGAAGACGCCGACGGCGCAGCCGCCGCAGACGCAGCCGCCGCAGACGCCGTAGCCGCCGCAGACGAAGCCGTCGTAGACGGACCCTCCCCTCTCAGGCATGGACGCCAGCTGCGAAGAGCTGCGAAGTCTAAGTTTGATCCAGCCAAACTTGAGTCAGTCGCTCCTTCATTTTTTTTGTTTTCTTTCCGCACAATGCTTACGACCGAAGATGTCCTGGGAGATTGACATGAACAGCCTCTACGCAAGTCACAGCATATCCAACTTCAAGCTGCAAGGTGTACGCTTCTTGTCCTTCTGGCGAAAGAGTGTTCCTTGGTTTGCACGGAGCTCGATGCAGAAGGCTGCAGTCCTTGCAGGGGATGCAGGCTCTTTTGTAGGTCCCCAAAAAGATTAAACAAGTGTTCTTTGTTCTACATTCTAGACATGGTGGTTTGGATGAAGATTGAAGCCTGTCAACTTTCGAACATATTTTTCCTCGTGAGGATCAGCTGCACCTGCTATCCCGATTCCTTTTCGGAGCTTGTTCATGGACGTACGGTGAAGCACCACTGTAAGAAGATCTGGAAGTCCAACGAGCGATGCTACGCAGAAGGTGGATATGCCCAGGCCGGTGAACACATGCCGCTGATTTGGAGCACCGAACTCGATTTACAGCTGATTGGCATGAGTTGTGACGAACTTGTAACGAATATGCGATATGATGCGATATGTTATTGTATGTTATTGTGTCATGTGTTCAAATTGAATTATGTTGTTTGCCATAAAAGTCAGAAGTCTCCCATTCCGTTCAAAGAATCTAGACTAGATTCCATCCATGTGTTCAAGAATGCCGGGCATCCATTGGCATCCATTGGCGCCCTCAGGCAATTTGCATGAAAATCACCGATCCGGTGGCCACGGTGCGCCCTGTTGGGGCTCTGCAGACATGTCTTCTTGTCGTTTTGCTGTCTATAAATATCCATAAAACTTTAAATCATCGTAGATCATGTTTTATTTGACTCATCCTTCAACCTTGTGTGAGCCAGGGACGAGATAGAATGCTGATGTAGATGCTTAGGCGACCTGAACCCTTAAGCAAGAGTGACAGAGATTGAGGACCCCAGTTCTTTTTTTAAAGGTGCGTCTAGATTGAACTTGGCCCCATGGGGTTTGGCCCTTTTGTACTCGTAACCTCAACCCGCCCAATGCGTTCTATGTGGCAACCGAGCCCTGGGTCTAGGTCCCTAAGTGCACAGGTCCGAGCTGACAGATGCCGAAAGATTCCCTACCTTTCATACATCTAGGTGTCAAGGGTCACCAACACAGGAACTCATATTTATTTTTTTGATTTCTTTTTTTTGGCACCCGCTTTTGGCTTTTGGTGGCTTTGTTTGGTTGGGCTTTTGGTGGCTTTGTTTGGCTTGGGCTTTTCGTGGATTTGTTTGGCTTGGGCTTTTTCACTGTTGCAAGGAATGTGATATGCCCAAGATAGATCAAGATGTGATAGTTATTCTCTTCTATTGTATCCTGGTAATTACATACATCCACCGACTGAAGAATGCAAGCAGTGTTGGCAACGACCGTGCTTGCATTGGTTTGATCTTCCGTGGCTGTGGCCAACTTCGGCTGACAATTTCAACCTTTGTTCTGCTGTGATGGGTGGATGTTAATCACTAGTCCATCATCAGAGGTGTGAAGTCCCAGGCACAGCTGCCAGATGTAAGAAGGTATATCCAGATGATTGCAACTCACAGACGACCATGAGACATTGTGTTATTGGAATCCTTTCGGAGGGAGGTTTTTATACTGATCACTAGCTTCACACAGCTGGCTAGCTGTTGGGCAGCCTCACTGTCACTTGTGGTGGAACCATCATGTTCTTCATCCACGAAATCTGCATTTCGAGGTTCACAAAGTGCTGCGCCTGCCACGAAATGTGCACTTCAAGGTTCGCAAAGTGCTGCGCCTGCCACGAAATCTGCACTTCGAGGTTCACGAAGTGCTGCGCCTGCCACAAAATCTGCACTTCGAGGTTCACGAAGTGCTGCGCCTGCCACAAAATCTGCACTTCGAGGTTCACGAAGTGCTGCGCCTGCCACAAAATGTGCACTTCTAGGTTCACAAAGTGCCAAAGTGCTGCGCCTGCCACGGAATCTGCACTTCGAGGTTCACGAAGTGCTGTGCCCGCCACGGAATCACTATATGAAAGCGCTGCTAGAAAAAATCCACCAAAAAGCACGAAAAACATTATTACTGTATCCAAAACTAGACGACGAGTGGCCCGAAAGCATTTTTCATCACGTAGGAAGTCAGAGTGTGAGTTAAGTGTTCAGTGTGAAGTGTTAAGTCGAGTGAGTTGAGGCAGTGTGTGGGTCTCTGCGTGTGTGTATCAATGTCTGTGTGTGTATGAGTCTCTGTCTGTGACTCCGAGTAAGTTGAGGCAGTGCGTGGGTCTCTGTGTGTGTGTCAACCTTTTAAGAGAGCCGGGTGGTCGGGAGACATGACTCAGCTGCAGGGGCGCCAGAGCAGCTGCGAGAGATGACTCAGCCGCGAGAGATGACTCATCCGCGTACTAAAGTTGCACTGCAAAGTCACCAGTTCTCAGCTTCCAGCTCCCCAGATACTCCGCGTACTAAAGTTGTACTACAAAGTCGCCAGTTCTCATCTTCCAGTTCCCCAGATACTCCGCGTACTAAAGTTGTACGACAAAGTTGCCAGTTCTCATTTTCCAGCTCTCCAGATACTCCGCGTACTAAAGTTGTACTACAAAGTCGCCAGTTCTCAGGTTCCAGCTCCACAGACTGCTCCACGTACTACAGTTGTACTACAAAGTCACCAGTTCTCATCTTCCAGCTCCCCATATGCTCCGCGTACTAAAGTTGTACTACAACTTCGCCAGTTCTCATCTTCC